GAAAAAACAAACACAAATTGCAAAAAAGAAAAAACAGAAAGAAATATAACAATCTATAAAAGCACTATTATAATCTGAGCTAGGCAAGTATAAAAATTATATAACAAATACAATATTTGTATATCTCTACTGTAAAGCTTCGCCTTAATCTTAAATTTACTTTTTGATCTTCTCACCAACTCCAGATAGCTTTGTTGTCTATCCTAATTCGTATTTTAAACCAGGTGCTGCCATTGTCTAAGGACCATATTTCAAGCCACTTGCTGCCATAATTAGAGTTCTCAGGCTGAATCCCTTAAAGTAGTGCCATATTTGTCTATAAACAAACATGTAGTTGCATTTTGCTAATTTATCTAAATTTGAAAAGTAAACAATGCCGATCTTTTGGAAAAGTAAACAAAATCTTCACTTTTTGTCAAAATTTTTTGAAAGACCAACAGAAAGGTGAGTAAGAGTAAAAGAGAGACCACTTGGCCAAGTAAAAGAGTGCAGCTTAAGGAAAGCAGAGTCTTGTTGTTTTCCTTGTATTCTTTTAGAAGTAATAGCCTAAGTAACTTTGTTAACAAAAAGTCTATTGTCTTTTTACCAAAATTTTGAATCTAAGAGTGCACACCTTCAGCTAGTTATTTTGTATACTAATGTTTTTAGCTTGTATATCAAACATATAACTTATAAAGAAGTTCTGGAAAAGTAAAACTGTTGACCTCTAGACAAACCGCTATATTAGGCTATAACTCTTCAACAAAAGTTTTGTTTTTTTTTCAATAAAAATTTTGGTCCAAATGATTATTAGAAAGAGTTGTATATTGGTTGTATATGACAAATCCAGGATGTAGGTGAGATTTTCCAGGTTACGTGTATTCCGGCTCTCTGACCTACTTCTAAAATTTGTCAGATGATCATTGTGTTTTGTGATTACATATTGAGATAATCTTTTTTTTTTATTATTATTAATTTTTTTGTTTTATGTAGTTCTGTATTTCTTTTTGTTTCAACCAATATATTTTTTTTCCGCTAATTAATGCCTTTTTGCTTTCACTTGTTTTCTTTAGAATTTGCTTTCTTGGTTGTAAAACATGTTTAATATCGTTTTTTTTTTTCTAAATGATTTTCACTTGTTCTCTTTGGAAATGAGTTTCCGGTTTTAGATTTAAGAGACGTGTTTACTAAACTCTCTTTGCTTTCACTTGTCTTGATTGTATAGCGTGTTTAACTAATGCCCATTTCTCTTTTTCAGGTAACTTTTGCTAGCTCTCTTTGGACTTGAAGCTTCCAGTTTTGGATTTTCAGGTGGGTATTTTCTTGGTGTTTACAATGCTCTTTTTGCTTTTGCTTGTTCTTTGGAATTGGCTTTCTTGGTTGTATGGCGTGTTTAACTAATGCCCACTTCTCTTTTTCAGGTAACTTTCGCTTGTTCTCTTTGGAATTGAGCTTTCGGGTTTGGATTTTTGGGTAGGTACTTTCTTAGTGTTTACAATACTCTTTTTGCTTTCGCTTGTTCTTTGGAATTGGCTTTCTTGGTTGTATGGTGTGTTTAACTAACACCCACTTCTCTTTTTCAGGTAGCTTCTTTTGTACTCTTTGGAATTGAGCTTCCAGGTTTGGATTTTCAGGTGGGTACTTTCTTGGTGTTTACAACGCTCTTTTTGCTTTTGCTTGTTCTTTGGAATTGGCTTTCTTGGTTGTATAGCATGTTTAACTAACACCCACTTCTTTTTTTCAGGTAGCTTCACTTGTACTCTTTGGAATTGAGCTTCCGAGTTTGGATTTTTAGGTAGGTACTTTCTTGGTGTTTACAACACTCTTTTTGCTTTCACTTGTTCTTTGGAATTGGCTTTTCTTGGTTGTATGGTGTGTTTAACTAACACCCACTTCTTGGAATTGAGCTTCCGGGTTTGGATTTTTGGGTGGGTACTTTCTTGGTGTTTACAATGCTCTTTTTGCTTTCGTTTGTTCTTTGGAATTGGCTTTCTTGGTTGTATGGCGTGTTTAACTAACACCTACTTCTCTTTTTCAGTAGCTTCACTTGTACTCTTTGGAATTGAGCTTCCGGATTTGGACTTTCGGGTGGGTATTTTCTTGGTGTTTACAATGCTCTTTTTGCTTTAACTTGTTCTTTGGAATTGGCTTTCTTAGTTGTATGGTGTGTTTAACTAACACCCACTTTTCTTTTTCAGGTAACTTTCGCCTATACTTTTTGGAATTGAGCTTCTGGGTTGGATTTTTGGGTGGGTACTTTCTTGGTATTTACAACGCTCTTTTCGCTTTCGCTTGTTCTTTGGAATTGGCTTTTTTGGTTGTATGGCGTGTTTAACTAATACCCACTTCTCTTTTTCAGGTAGCTTTGCTTGTACTCTTTGGAATTGAGCTTCCGGGTTTGGATTTTCGGTTGGGTACTTTCTTGGTGTTTATAATGCTCCTTTTGCTTTCGCTTGTTCTTTGGAATTGGCTTTTTTGGTTGTATGGCGTGTTTAACTAACACCCACTTCTCTTTTTTTGTAGCTTCGCTTGTACTCTTTGGAATTGAGCTTCTGGGTTTGGATTTTCGGGTAGGTATTTTCTTGGCATTTACAACGCTCTTTTTGCTTTCACTTGTTCTTTGAAATTGGCTTTCTTGGTTGTATGGTGTGTTTAATTAACATCCACTTCTCTTTTTCAGATAACTTTCACCTGTACTTTTTGGAATTAAGCTTCTGGGTTGGATTTTTGGATGAGTACTTTCTTGGTGTTTACAACGCTCTTTTTGCTTTTGCTTGTTCTTTGGAATTGGCTTTCTTGGTTGTATGGTGTGTTTAACTAACATCCACTTCTCTTTTTCAGGTAACTTTGCTTGTACTCTTTGGAATTGAGCTTCCGGGTTTGGATTTTCGGGTGGGTACTTTCTTGGTATTTATAACGCTCTTTTTGCTTTTGTTTGTTCTTTGGAATTGGCTTTTCGGTGTGTTTAACTAACACCCACTTCTTGGAATTGAGCTTTTGGGTTTGGATTTTCAGGTGGGTACTTTCTTGGTGTTTACAACACTTTTTTTGCTTTTGCTTGTTCTTTGGAATTGGCTTTCTTAGTTGTATAGCGTGTTTAACTAACACTCACTTCTCTTTTTCAGGTAGCTTCACTTGTACTTTTTGGAATTGAGCTTCCGAGTTGAATTTTTGGATGGGTACTTTCTTGGTGTTTACAACGCTCTTTTTGCTTTTGCTTGTTCTTTAGAATTGGCTTTCTTGGTTGTATGGCATGTTTAATTAACGCCCACTTCTCTTTTTCAGGTAATTTTTGCTAGTTCTCTTTGAACTTGAAGCTTCCGGGTTTTGATTTTCGGGTGGGTACTTTCTTGGTGTTTACAATGCTCTTTTTGCTTTCACTTGTTCTTAGAATTGGCTTTCTTGGTTGTATGGTGTGTTTAATTAACACTCACTTCTCTTTTTCAGGTAACTTTCACCTGTACTTTTTGGAATTGAGCTTCGGTTTTAGATTTTTGGGTGGGTGTACTCTCTTGGTTGTGAGACATGTTTACACAACACTCTTTTCACTTTTGCTTGTTCTCTTTGGAATTGGCTTTCTTGGTTGTATAGCGTGTTTAACTAATACCCACTTCTCTTTTTTAGGTAACTTTCACTTGTTTGATTGTTGAATGCTATTTAACTACTTTTTTTACCGAAGGTTTTTAGGTTTCTAATTCGTTGTGTTGGTGTGTTGTTAGTGGTTGATTATAGTTAGAATTAAATAGTTGTGATTAGATGTTTTATTTTTTAGCACTGTAAATAATAGTATTAATATAATAAATATATAATATTGACATAAAAATTATGTAATCATTGATTATGTGATACTAGTCTATTGCGTTACAGTATTTTTTTATTTTAAAAAAAAATTTTATATTGGTATTGTTATTGCAAATTGATTACATGATTCCGGTCTTGATCAGAGCTCGATTTTTCACGTAATCTGGAAAATCTCACCTACATCCTGGTACTGTTGTTGTATATAATTAATATTATTATTAATTAAGCAACTCTTTTCAACGATCACTTTTACCACAAAAATCCAAAAATTCTTAAAAAATACAAGCATCTGTAAAGGTAGAAACAGATTGAGAAATAGCCTTTAAGCTCTATAACTCAGCAGTTGTTATTTAGAGAGTTTTTATATATTATCTGCTAACTTTCTTAGAGTTTATCACTTACCATGAGGGCTGGCAGTTGTCATTTAGAAATAGTTTTCATATGCTATTTGCCAACAAGCCCAGAGTTTATCACTTACCAAAAAAATAAGGAAAGTATTTGTATCTTCTTATAGATTTAATGTATTGAGTAAAGAAAATATACACTTCTTTATTAAACAAAACAAAGTGGTTTTATCTTTTTTCTCTGCCTCCTTGCTGCTCTTTCAAAATTTTCTACAAAAGTGAGCAAAATAGCTTACCTCCTTCAAAAGATTGGCATTGTTTACACCTTCCAAATCTAAAAAGTTTCAGCAAACTGCGATCATGTGTTTGATTTGTTTTGTTTATAGACTATGCTGCTTTACATAATACTAAGGTTGGCTGCTTACGTTATTTAGAAGTTCAGATAATTGAGTCAAAAAATTTATTTGATAAGGCAAAGCTTTATACTAGAGATATACAAATATCATATTTGTTATATAATTTTTTTTCCAACCTAGTATGGGTAATAGTAGTGTCAAAAAGACAGAATTTTTCACTTTTCTTTTTGTTTTCTTTTCTCTGTTATTTTCTTTTTAATATTCTCTTTCATATTTGTTTTTTTTCTCTTTATTCTTTTTTGTTTTTTCCTTTTCCCCTTTGTTTTTGTTATTTTCGATTTATTTTTGTTTTTTTGTTATCTTACTTCTATTTGTTATACACTCCTTTGAAAAAGGAAAAATGTTAAAAAAAAAGCAATTTTAACAAAACTAGCAATAAGCTTTTAGTGATTTTTTTAGGGAGTTATCTAGTAAGTTAGATACCAGAGAGAAGTGAATTATTGCTGTAGCAGATCGCACCTGGGTACTATTAAGAGCAGTCGAGTGAGTTTTTATTGAAGAGTAGAAGGATGGAAGACACTGGGTTTATTGCAGGCTTTTTGTTCGGAAACTATATATTTTGATTACGCACTCCTAATACAATAAAGGCAGAATTGCCAAAATTAAAAAAAAAATTATTATTTTTTTTTTTTAACTTTGATGATTTTGTCATTAACTTTTATTACTTATTTAAATAAATATTACATATATTTATATATACTTTTAACCTATCTAAGTAGTCATTATAACCTCATCTGGCTACCCTATATGGCATCTAGATACAACTGTCTGTACCATTTTACATGTGAGATAGACTTTCTTGGGTACCTCCAGTGTCTGAAATTGGGTTGTGGAGTCTGCAGACCACAACAAAATTTTAAATTCCCGCAACCAAATTCTGAAGTACACATGCAAATTCCGCATATAAATTTGCAAAATTTACTTATAAATTTCAATTAAATGTTTATCTGTGCACCTAAATTTTTATAAATTTTTATAATCCGCAAGTTGTTTTTTTAATTGGTTGCAATCTGCAACTAATTTAAAAATTGAATTTCAGATACTGGGTACCTCTATCAAGAAGCACCCTAAGTTCTGATCTAACTCAGAACCTTAATGTTTTTACTAATTCATATATACCCTGCTATATATACTACTATACAACGTCTACCAGTTATAGTTCACCCCTCATCACTTATCACATTACTCCTAATTCATTTCTTATATAACTTCCAAATTGGTGTTCTAGGAGTGGGCGCTCTTCTTGCTTCCAGTTTGGTGTCTCTCGAGATGTTACTTCAGTTCCTAATCTGTATCTCAAGCTAGATGCTGCCGCTGTCCGAAGACCCGTATCTCAAGCCACCTGCTGCCGCCATTAGGAGAGCTGTTCGCATGGTTTCAGGTATTTATGTCGTATACCACCAAATTAGGCTATCGCTCTTTTTATAGTACTCTCTATCAGTATGGTATTACAGAAGTCTAAATTCTTAAGACAGGAGTTAAGTACCTCATTTAATTACTGTCACAAGCCAGTAACTCGAGACTCGCACTTCTGCTATGTTTCGTTATGCTTCCACGACTCCCATATAGGTTGTGTGACACATTACTCACTGGCCGACTTTTATTTTCATACCACCGGAGCGCTTGCTTCTATGCTTTTCAGGGTTTCTTTTAGCCAGTTTTTCTTGTTTTCTTGTGCCAGAGGTGTTCTATATTTGGTAAAGCCATTCTCTTACCACAGCCCTTACTATGTTCACCGCTTCTCTCACCACTTCTGGATATATTGTATATAGCCGTCCTTCCAATCAAAATTCCAATGCTACCTTAGGGTTGTTGGTGCTACCTTGCCAATCGTGGATTCACACGCACAGCCTTTTGCAATATTACCTTCTGTGACCCATGTCACACACAGTGCCTGATCTTCTCCATGGCACAGGACTCCTTCCAAGAATTCTTTATCGGCCAAATATGTACTTCACATGGTCTTACTACCACAGGGTTCCACATTCAAAAGCCCCCGAAGGTTACAGAGATAATTAATTAAATTAATTACTACCAGCTGTAATTAAACCGTCGACCTCATCTGTGGAGGGTTAGACGTCTAAACCACTAGGCTACAGAACCCCTAAAGCTAGATTATATTAGTTTTATACATAGTATATAATTTTTTAAGCCTTGCATGAGCAATAATAGTGCTATTAGAATTTGTTTTACTTCTTTTTGTTTTTTGTTTTTTTTTGTTTTGGTTAGTGGCTGTCCTTAGAAAAAATAAAAGTTTCAGAAAAGAATAAGTCCACATATATTATCAGTTAAAACTTTAATAGTTTTATACATAGTATATAATTTTTTAGGCCCATGCCAGGCATTATTAGTTTTATTAGGATTCTGTTTTATTTCTTTTTGTTTTTTGTTTTTTTCTTTTTTTTGATCATTTTCTTATCAGTTCTATTTAAAAATTCTCCCCTTACTTTAAGCTGTTGGCTATCCCTAGAAAGAAAGAAAAAATTAAAAAGGAATAGATATAGTTCTAATATGGTAGTCTGATTACCATGCTAGAGCAGTTCTTTAAATGCGGTTAGTGCTATATGTGGGTGTCTGTTGGCAAATATCAGTGCAATAACCAAACTTGGGCACTTTTTGAGAAGCAGCTGGGTTTCTGCCAAATATGTATATTGATTGTAAAACTTGAGCCAAGGTTTAAAGTAGTCAATAAATTTGTGCAAAGTTATCAAGAAAAAAAAAAAAAAATTTTATTAATTTTATAATATAAAACAAATCTATAAATCTTTTTAACAATTTTGGATTTGATTATTTTGGTTAAATCATCCAAACGGATTAAGTTATTCATTTTAAAAATTATGCGTATATTTTATACTGTATTTAGCAATTAGTTAGATATATGTAAATATACTTTATACGTATCCAACAATCGAAATTGAATAATTTTTTCATCATTAGATTTGTTTTAAAAATCATTTAATTCTAATCAGAGATATTGAGATTAATCATCTCCCTTATATTTAATAATATATAGTTGATAATAAAGCCCCGATCCACTTTATAAAATTGATTGGTCAAAGAAATTAAGAACTATTCGAATGCCAATTGCTATAAATGGTCAAGAACAATGGGCTTATTGCTATAATTTTTTTCTGAAGTATTATATGGATTCTTCATAAATAATAAAATTACTATTGCACGAATAAACTCCGAAAATGGTTCAATACTCGAACAACGTTTTTTGTGTAATGAATTTATTAATTGTCTATATCGATATCTCTATAAATTAATCATTTATCATTTAATGATGCAAAAGAACAGTTCTTGGTTTCTTAAACTTTATCTGTTTCTCCCTTATTGTAATTAGAATGGACAAGAACTCATATTTTGGTACGTCGTCGTCGTTGACGACTCCTCAGCACGTTCCCCTTGTTCCCATTATTTCTGACAAACACCTTTCTCTGCTACTTCCAATAATTATTTATTGGGTATATTCTGGAATGTACCACCTAATTTCGATATACCGAATTCCTTTCTTCGAAAAATATCGAATTCGTAGTCTAGAGGAGACTAAAACCAAAAATAAAATTTCTAGTTCGGAAGTTATTAAAGGAGTTATTGTGCAACAATTTTTGCAGACTGTACTGGGCTTTATAGTAGTAGCTGCTGAAGAAGAGCAAGTGTTACCTGATGATAACGCAGAGATTTTGGGTCTTAGCCAAACTTTAGAAACTTATTCGACAAGCTTCGGTATAGGGCATCATATTAGACCACATAAGCAAATATTGGCAGAATATTCTTATTGGTATTTAATACCAGTTGTAAAATTTTTCTTTGCAATGTAAGTATGCACTCTATTTCCACTTATTTGAAAACAAGGATGTAAATTATCAATTTTCAATATACATAGATTATATATATTATTAATAACTAGATAATTTTACGTTTAGGTTCCTGTTAGATACATGGCAATATTTTATGCATAGATTATTCCATCAAAATGCATTTCTTTATCGCCACATTCACTCTCGACATCATCGATTGTATGCACCTTACGCTTTTGGAGCACTTTACAATCATCCTATAGAAGGCTTCTTGTTTGATTCTCTTGGCGCTACTATTGCGTTTACATTATCAGGATTATCAGTTAAAGGCGCGGTTGCTTTTTTTACGTTTTCGACTTTCAAAACTGGCATGTATTTTCCAATATTCTAGAGCATTGATCATGTGTGTTTACAAGTGAGCTTTGATGATAACTATCTCATGTGTCGTACAGTTGATGACCATTCAGGTTATGATATACCATTCAATCCTATACAGAGAATATTTGGCAATAATGCTATTTAGTAAGCTTTATTTAGTTTTTTTATTTTAAATTCGAGCTTTTTTTTTCTTTGCTCAATTTATCGTCTTTACCGGAATAGCCATGATATTCATCATCAAACATATGGATTGAAAAAGAATTTTTCACAACCGTTTTTTACCTTCTGGGATCGCATTTTTGGAACTTACTTACCTTATCATGAAGTACCAAAAGTTTTGGAAGAGGATTCGTCTAGAGATATTGCCGATGATGACGATGATCCCCAAGCCTTGAAAAAGTCTAAAACTATGGAATCCAGAACTTCGTCTAAAAGATACAATTTGAGATCGAGAAAAAATATTTCCTAAAATGGTTTTGGATTGTTTGAGGTAAAAAAAAAAATTCAATTTGTCTTTAAGAAATCACTGGTATAATTGTTTTTTTTGTAGTTATCAATTACATGGCCCCAATTGTATTTATATGATTGTATATTAATATATAAGAACATTCTGTAGTTTTATTTGATTAGAATTGCAAATTATTTATGAATCTGTCATTTTTCTCACTAAAATTAAATCTTGGATCATTCGAATGCATATATATCATTACTAATAATAATAAATAAATGTATAAAAGATTGGTTTACATCTTATTTTGGTATATTTGAAATCACATCCATATTTGTCACAATCGCGCTATAGTCACCTTAATTTTTTTGCGCATCAAGTGCGGGAGTAAACTTTATAAAATTTTGTGAGGCAAATTTACTTATACGATGACGGGTTAACTGTAGTACAGATATAATCATACTTAGTGTAAATTGTGTTACGTTGCGTACGTACGGTTATGATAAATTACGTCCTTCGTGGACGGTTTAACTCTCGTTCCCCAGCACTTAGCTAACAAATATAGAAAGCAATCAAAATATTTATGATGTCAAAATATTAACACAGATTACTAATTTTAAAAATTTTGATCTTTTTATAGATTGTCAATTGCCTTTAAAAATTTTTTAAACTTTTTTGATAACTGATAATCTATCTACCCAGTTCCGTAAAATTCCGCCCATTTAAACAAATATTCTCACCTAATTCGTTCTTTCGTCTCTTGCCACCATAGCTGTTCATATAAACTAGAAGCAAATCATGTCTTACAATTCTGTTCCGGGTGTTACGATTCTTGCCCCGGTGAATGATACTCAAACTCAAATACTATCCCCTGGAGCTCTTGAGTTTCTTGCAAAACTTCATAGGGCGTTTAACCCTACTAGGAAAACTTTACTTCAACGTCGAGCTCTTCGACAACAAGAATTAGACCGTGGCGTTCTTCCTGACTTTTTACCAGAAACTGCTCACATAAGAGACGATGACACTTGGCGCGGTGCTTATCCTGCACCTGGATTGGTTGATAGGCGCGTTGAAATCACTGGACCAGTTGATAGAAAGATGGTTATCAATGCCTTAAACTGTGGTTCCTCTACTTATATGGCAGATTTTGAGGGTAATTGCAATTTAAGTGATCGACGAAATCTAATGATTTATAAATTCAAATATCCATTTTTGATCAATTTGTATTATTTAACCATAGATTCCAATGCACCAACATGGGAGAATAATATTGATGGTCAAGTAAATTTACGTGATGCCATTCGTGGATCCATAACTTATACTAATCCTGCAAACAACAAGAAATATTCTTTACGTAAAGATGGCAATGTTGCTACCTTGATCGTGCGGTAAATTTAACATTAAATTTTTGATATAACATTATTTGAACTACTCTAAATTTATACTCATCATAATATGAATTAGTCCCCGTGGTTGGCATTTAGATGAAAAACATGTCTTAATCGATGGTACACCTGCATCCGCTTCAATTTTCGATTTCGCTTTATACTTCTATAATAATGCAAAGAAATTAATTGAAAACGGTATCGGGCCTTATTTTTACTTACCAAAGATGGAATCTCACTTAGAAGCAAGGTAACTTGTAATCATTCAAATAATAGTCTAAGTTGTTCATTTTTAATAACTAATTAATTTTTATTTATTGTAAAGGTTATGGAATGATATTTTTAATGTAGCACAAGATCTTCTTGGTATTCCTCGTGGTACTATTCGTGCCACTGTTTTAATTGAAACAATTCTTGCTGCATATGAAATGGATGAAATTATTTATGAACTTCGTGAACACTCTTCTGGTCTCAATTGTGGTAGATGGGATTATATTTTTTCTGTTATTAAAAAATTCCGTTACAACCCTAATTTTATCCTTCCGGATCGTGGTGATGTTACTATGACAACTCCATTCATGGATGCCTACGTTCGGCTGCTTATCAAAACATGTCATCGTCGTGGAGTTCACGCTATGGGCGGTATGGCTGCTCAGATTCCGATTAAAACCGATCCTAAAGCGAATGCTACAGCCATTGAGAAAGTTAGAGCTGACAAATTACGTGAAGTTAAAGCTGGTCATGACGGTACTTGGGTTGCTCATCCAGACTTGGTAAAGGTTGCTATGGAAGTTTTTAATGAAAATTTAAAAACTCCAAATCAAATTTTTGTACGACGTGAAGATGTTAATGTTACTGCTTTGGATTTACTTAACACGAACGCTCGTGGTTCCATCACTGAAAATGGTATTCGTAGCAATATATCAGTTGGTCTTACTTATATTGAGTCATGGCTTCGAGGGTTAGGATGCGTACCTATTAATAATCTTATGGAAGACGCTGCTACCGCTGAAATTTCACGATCGCAATTATGGCAATGGGCAAAACATAAATCTCGTACCGCTGAAGGCAAAACTGTCACTGCAGAATATTTGCTTAAACTGCTTGATGAAGAAATTGCAAAATTGGAAAGACAATTAGGTCCTCAAAAATTTGGTGAAAGTAAATACGGATTAGCAAAACGATATTTAGCAAGCCAAATTACCGGCAAGGAATATTCCGAATTTTTGACTACACTATTGTATGACGAAATCACAAGTGTTTATAATAAGGCTAAACTTTAAACTAAATTGTTAATGGCTTTGCATGCACAATATTCGGATAATGCCGAACTACTGTATCGTATTGATTAAAAGTTCCCGGGGACAGTGGAGGATCTTTATTGCATATTACATAAAAAGGGGCCTTTTAATTAATTCGCTACGGTATTTCTATTTTAATCTTTTCGTATTATCACATTGTGAATAATTTAAAATAAATTAAGCAATATGTCAGGATCTGCATTGTCTTTTATATAAAGTGATAGTTTTATTCTGAAATATAGTTTGATTTGTACTCATAATGCAACTTATAGAAACCCATTCATACATATCGATATATACTAATGTTATGAATTTTGTACGTACGTAAGCTAAAGATTAGCCAGATAAATCCGATGTTAAGGTTTCATTAAATTGTAAAACAAGAAAATCACGGACATACCATAATTCCGATACCCGAAGATCTCGTGATATAGGAAATTACGGGAAATTATACCGGAGAAAGTTTTCAGGCACTAGTAGCATGAAATTTTTTTGGAATTAATTTTTGAAACAAACAAAATATCGTTATTTGTTTCTAATTCAAATGATATATTGGCTAAACTATTGAAAAGATCATCAGTATTAGTTACACATGAAGGACCAGTATTAGAACTATCTATTTCCATATTTGAATCAGAGTGTCCAGCTATTTCTAGCATCTAAAATAGCGCTATTTCTAGCAAAACGCTACAAATAGCTAGCTACATTGTTTTAGTGCTAAGATGCGATTTTTGCTATT